AGGACAGCAACCCTGTGGCCACGGGAGCTCTCGGTCCCCGAGCAACGGGAGGTGCCGCCTCGCCCCGTTACCACTGTCCTTTGCTCTGCGTAACAGCGTTCACAGGACATTCTGATTGCCATGGCGGTGCTTCAGCAGCAGCTTTTCTGCGCCTCACAGACCTCTCGGCCTGGTCTCCAGTAATTGACTGAATTGAAAAAAAAAAAAATCACCTGTGGCCACGGGAGCTCTCGGTCCCCGAGCAACGGGAGGTGCCGCCTCGCCCCGTTACCACTGTCCTTTGCTCTGCGTAACAGCGTTCACAGGACATTCTGATTGCCATGGCGGTGCTTCAGCAGCAGCTTTTCTGCGCCTCACAGACCTCTCGGCCTGGTCTCCAGTAATTGACTGAATTGAAAAAAAAAAAAATCACTTGAACTTAATGACCCTCGAAATGGTCTTTATTAATTTTGAAATCAGCTCACTCGACAAACGACTGACGGCTCTAGGAGAACTGGTAAACTGTTGTTAACAGCAGCCATTAGAGGAAGGTGTTAAAGTAAGTCAGAAGGGTCAGCGGCAGGTGTTGCTGTTACACCTGTAAGTGTCAGCGCTTTTGTTTGGCTGACGCCTCGGGTGCATTTAATGGGGCTTAAGCCTGCAAAATGATTCATCCCCGCATAAGTGGTATCTTTAAACACTTCCTTCCAAAGCCCATGACTAAAAAGAGGCAAAGCATACTTTCCCTCTTGGAATAATGGCACTTCTGAAAGGGGTTTATAGAAATCTTGGGTTTCTCTTGGGCTCTTAAGCCAGCACTCGAGAAGAATTCACCTGGCGGCTTAAGCACGAGCAGGAGTTGACACACTGGTTCTGTTTTCTTGTTGACCCTCTTACATATATTAGCTGGAGGCAGATGATCAAAGCCACATAACTAGTTCTGGTCTGTTTATCCACGTCCCCAGCAGTTCACACAGGTACGCTGGAGTTCATAACCCTCTGGAGCTGCTCAGTTGTCTCCAGACCCGCTGTCCCATCAAACAGCCTGCATGGATCTGGTGGTAGTTGATTTCTGTTGAGGATTCAGAATGCCTTCGCTCCGTTCGGCATGTGAGGAACTAGAGTGTGCTCCCTCCTCGACTGAGGCTGTGCCAGAAGCCCAGACAGCTGAACACATGGAAGCAGCAGCTCTTGGACATCAGAAACGTTAGCGTTAGAAACATTAACAAGATCAAATTCTGTAGACCTCTTTCTTTTTGTCCTTTGAAGTGGATCTGCCCAGTGTATTCTAATGAGGAACTTCCTGATATTTTAATCTTTTTTTGCCTGTGTTTTCCCCTTGCCTCTCCCAAACCAACTGAAATAATTGGCGTTGGTGTAACTGCCCAACCTGAGCTATCCTTAAGACGCTGTAACGCGCTGTAAGGCAACAGAAAAGCACGTTCAGCTGGAACTACAGTCATGGGACTGCTGAACTTCAGCGGAACCGGATGACTGAAGCCGAGCTTTCCGTGAGGGTGCAGATGCCAACCCCACGTGCTGAAGGTCTACTCTCGCTCCAACCCTCTGTTGTTAGTACAATGGTGTTTTTTCGAACTGAATGAAACCAGGGTTTGGGGAACTGTTAAAGCTGTAAGCAGAGTGGGAGTCACAACCCAATGAAAATAGCGACCTGACTAGCGGTGAGATGAGGGTGTGTGGGAGGATTCTAACGTGGTTCATCTTTATTTTTCAGTGTTGGTTGCTGATTCGCTGGTTTATATTCCTGCAGTTATTTTATACTGTTTTTCATTGAGAGAAACATCCACCAAAAAGAAGGCAAGTATCCGGTGTGTGTGTAAGTTACAAACCAAGGGAAGCCTGCTGTTAACTCAGGGTAGAAACATAACAGTGTGAGCGTTTTAACGTACGGAACACTGTGATGGCTTCAACTGATGTAAAACCGATGACATATCTTGTATTAAAGGCTTCTCAGTTAAAAAGATTTTAAAAGCCGTTAACTTAGAGCAATTATTTAATGATTTCGGTAACAAGATGCTCTGAAGTTTAGTTGCCGCGAACTCCTGGATTCTGTTTCTTTCTGATTTTATTACTGGCATAGTAAACCCAAGATTCGTGCTGTACTGTGGAGGAATCCAGGAACTGCTGTGTCTTGCATGCTCCTTATGGCAGAACCAAGGCATTTTTGGAATAAAAATATCTTTATTTTGGAGTGATCCCAAGGTTTAAGATGGGTGGGGGTGATCTTTGAGCTGGTTGGCAAAGGGCAGGATGGTCTCCATTCAGTATTTTCATATTTATGGCACATCTTTATCGTTTTTATTCCTCAGAATATTACTGACAGCAGATTACTCATAGACAGTAAGATTCCTCCCCACAGCATGTATGCTGGAGGGGCAGATCTGGGTACTGGAGAAGCGGTAGGAGTTCCTCTGTCTAATATCTAACTCAGAAATAATGATTTTCCCCTCTCTTTCTTTTGATCCTTCTTTCCAGGTTTCCAGTGCTCTCTGCATACTGCTTTATCCAGGCCTCATTCTTATTGACCACGGACACTTCCAGTATCCTTGCTCTGCGGTGACGTGAATTCCCGTGTGTGAAGCAGCACTGTTCTCTTTGGTGTTGTCTTCAGCTGGGCCGAAGGTTCTTGTGTATCCATCTGCGGGGCTTCTGCCTGCCCCGAAGAAGAGACACTGGAGAAAGCTGTACGTCTGAAATACAGTGGAGATAAATGGTTGATATTGGGAGAAATCGATCCCAATGTGAATGGCTCTTTCCGTGCCTCGGGCTCATGTTTCTGTCGGTCACTTCATCGTGGAAAACGTCAGTGGTACTGTGACAGGGGACAGGACTGCGGTCTGTGTTTGGAGAGGGAATCACGTCTTGAGGGGCAGAGGAGCGTCAGGTGTAGTTGTGTAAAATGTAGGGGAGTATGAAGTGTGCCATCTCCTGCCCTGACGGCTGCTTGCGAGTGGATTCAGTGGGTGCCGAACCGCTCCGAAGGCAGCCCCGAGCTAACTGGTCAGTACTGGTGGCAGAGACCTTCACAGGCGGGCCTTTTTTACTAAGATGGTGGGGTTTAGACTTGTTTTGCACACCAGCAAGCAAATGCTGTTAGCTGACTACTCCAGGCTGTGCTGGTCAGTGCTGTCAAGCCGGAGGGACACAATCCTGGAATTGGGATAAATGTAAATGTTGAAATATTCCAAGGAGCTACTGAATCTCAGCATCTACTGTTTTGACAATCAAATAGTTTGCTAATTTGTGGTTTTCTTCCGAGCGAGTGCTTGGTGAGCTTGGAAGGTGATAGAGCTTGGAATGGAAATCTTGCTGTATTTGAAGGAAAAAAATCACAGTGCTATTGAGTGTTTGAGTTACAGGTCAGGAATTCTGAAATTCTATTTTTGGCCAGACTCTGGAAAGCTGTAGGTCATCTGGAGACGTCACTTAGAAGGAGGGGGATGGG